CTGACCCCTTGGGATCAGCTGAACCTCAAAAGTTTTCAGCTTTGCAATGACTGATTTGATCTTGGCAAGATAAGCTATCATGGAGGGCTCTTTGGCCTCGTAGCTGCCGCTGATCTGATATGCAACTAGCTGAGAGTCTGTTTTCAGGAAGACATGATCGGCTTCCAGGGAGATGCACAATTCTAGGCCAGCGATCGCTGCCTCATATTCGGCTTCGTTGTTCGAGGCCTTAAAAGAAAATTTCAGTGCGTACTCGAAGGATTTGCCTTCAGGAGAAGTTATCACTACTCCTGCCCCCGAACCATTTTCGGTGGAAGATCCATCCGTAAACACGGTCCAGACTTTCTTTTCATTGTCTAGCGCTTCTTGGTATGAGCATTCGGCCAAGAAATCCGCTAGAGCTTGAGCCTTAATGGCAGCCCTCAGACGGTAGCTGATGCTGAATTCAGTGAGCTCAAAAGCCCACTTGGCTAGCCTACCAGATTTTTCAACTTTGCCGAGAACTTTTTCCAACGGCTGATCAGTTAAGACCACTATCTGATGACAATCAAAATAGGGCCTCAGCTTCCGAGCAGCTACTACTACCGCAAAAGCGACTTTCTCGAGTAGAGGGTAGCGAGTCTCGGCATCCGTCAGTGTATGACTGACAAAATAGATCGGTTGCTGACTTTTGCTTTCTTCCTTCAGCAGTACTGCACTAATGGTGGATGGGCTAACGGCCACATACAGGTACAAAGTTTCTCCTTCTGCTGGGCTAGCCAGCGTCGGGAGTTGAGCCAGATGCTCCCGAAGCTGTTCAAAGGCTTCTTTTTGCTCTTTCTCCCAAACGAGCTCTTTTGTTTTCGGGAGTTTCAGGGCTTTGAAGAAAGGTAACCCCTTATCCGAAGCTCTGGAAATGAACCTCGAAAGGGCTTCCATTCTTCCGGTGAGCCGCTGAACATCCTGCTTTGTTTTCGGCTCAGGAAGGTCGAGCGCTGCTTTGACTTTGGAGGGATTGGCATCAATCCCCCTCTTGCTGAATATGAACCCAAGGAATTTCCCTGACTTCACGCCGAAGACACACTTCTTCGGATTCAGCTTCATTTGATGCTTTCTTAAGGTGGCGAAAGTTTCAGCCAGGTCTTTAACATGGTCTTCAGATTTTTTGCTCTTGACGATCGAATCGTCGACGTAGACTTCCATGTTTCGGCCCTTTTGGTCGGCGAAAACTTGATCCACCAGCCTTTGATAGGTTGCCCCCGCATTTTTCAATCCGAAGGGCATCATTTTGTAATTGTACACCCCAGCGTTCGTGACGAATGCCGTCTTTGCCCGATCGTCGGGGTGCATGGAGATCTGATGATACCCCGAGAATGCGTCCATGAAACTAAGCAAGGCATGGCCACTTGTCGAATTGACTAGCTGATCGATCCTCGGCAAGGGATAGAAATCCTTCGGACAAGCCTTATTTAGGTCCGTGAAGTCAACGCACATCCTCCAGGTACCAGTGGCCTTCTGAACCATTACCACATTTGCCAGCCATTCTGGATATTGGCAGGGCTCGATGAAGCTTGCCTCCAGCAACTTTTTGACCTCGGCTGCGATGTCTCGGTTCTTATTAGCGGAGTAATTCCGCTTCTTTTGCTTAATTGGTCGACACGTTGTGTCAACATTAAGCTTATGGGAGACGAGGTCTGGACTTATCCCGGGCATATCAGCTGCCGAGAAAGCAAACACATCTCTGTTGTCCCGAAGGAGCTGAATAAGTTCACAACGGGTGATCGGATCAAGGTCCATCCCGATTGTTACACATTTCTCAACGTCTCTTTCGGTCAACTGAACTTTTTCAGTCTGTTGGTCCATATCCATTGCTAATGGACTGGACTCTTCAGAATCTGGTCTGCTGCCTATGTCAGCAGGTGTCCCAGTCTTTTTGTTCTTCGGCTGGCTCTCTGAATCTTTCGGTTCAGCTGAAGAGCTAGCCTTTTCCCTTTCGGGCCCTTTTTCTCTGGGTACAGATCCTTGGGCCGAAGCACTTAGGCCTTTCGGCTTTTTTGTGCTTGGCTCTCTTTCTTTTTCTTTCTCCTCCTCATCCTTGTCATCATCTGGGCGACTACTGGATGGCTTGAGGTAGTTGCACCTTCGGGCGTCCTTTTGGTTGCCCTGTATCCTTTCGGGGAAGCCAGCGTCTGAGACGTAAATCATCAGCTGATGATAAGTTGAGACGACCCCTTGGATCTCATGAATTATGGGTCTCCCCAAAATCACGTTGTACACTGAAGGAGCGTCAATGACCAAAAATTCAATCATGACATTCCTGGCTGCCTCATCACAGCCGATGGTGACAGGAAGGGTCACCTTCCCATCTGGATAAGTTGAAGCCCCGTTGAACCCGGATACCAGGTAGGGTACCGGCGTAAGGTGCTTGGGCTTCAGCTTGATTTGATTGTAGGCCTTTCGGAACAGAATGTTTGCTCCGCTGCCACCGTCAACAAGGACCTTACTGACGTCGTGGTTGGCCACCGTGGCGATGATCACCAACGGATCCTCGTGAGGGAACGTAACCCCCCGACAGCCGGCGGCTGTGAACGTCATGTTCGGCACCGGCGACTGGGGAGGCTGAATGTCAGCGTTGTTCACCTGGTGAGTCAGAGCCCTAAGGTGTCGCTTGTGTTCCCTCCGAGAGCATATTCCTCCCGAGATAACATTGATCGGAGAGAATTTTCCCTCTGGCTTTTTACTGTTCTTCCGGGGGAAGTCGAGATCTTGCCGAGAGTCCTTTGCCGACTTCTCGGACTCCTTTTTCTCGCGGTGATCCGCGATGTATTTTTTCAAGTACCCCTTCCGGACCATGTCCTCTATCTGGTCCTTCAGTTGGATACACTCCTCAGTGTTATGTCCCGGAGATTCGTGGAACTCGCACCACTGATTTTTATTTTTTCGCTGATACCACTCTGGGAGTGGTCTCGGCTTTCGGTAACTCTGCTCCTCCTTCGTCACGCTGTAAATTTTGGCGCGTGGAAGAGAGAGCGGAGTGTAGGACTCGTATCTGCCTGTGTATGAGGCGGATTTTTCCTTCTTTGGGTCGCTGACCGAAGATTGCTCCAAGGCCTTTGCTTTTCCCTTTGCCCTATGGCCTTGGCCTTCAGACAAGGGTGTTTGTTTTTGCTTCCCTCCCTCAGATTGAGGTTGGGTTTTTGTTTTGTTCCACTCTTCGGCTCGGATGAACTTATCCGAGGCATTCAGAGCTTCCTCCAAGGTCTGCGGGGTATGCATGACCATGAAGTCTAGGAATTTCCCGGGCTGAAGGCCATTCTGCATTGCAAAAACGGCTAGCCCCTGGTCCAGCTGAGAGACGCTGGATGACTCGTTGCTGAAACGGGTCAGATAGTCTCGGAGGCTTTCGGTCTCCCCCTGTTGCAGACCCATGAGTTCTGCAGTAGTCTTCTCTCGGCGGTTTGCCGTGGAAAACTTGCTCCTAAATTTGGAGGACAGATCATCCCACCCTGTTATAGAGCCTTACTTTACTCCCTTGGAGATCCACGCTTGCGCGACCCCCTTGAGAGTGGTTGGGAAATATTTGCACCAAGTCGCTTCGGATCTGGGGCAAAGATGCATATGAGTCTCATACGAGGCAACGTGGTCCTTCGGATCCGAAGTCCCATCATATGTGATGTGCGACGGTATTTTAACCGTGGGCACGTGCTCTTCCAGTATCCATTGCTCGAATGGCGAACTGGCGGGTAGCATAACGGCCTTGCCCTTGTTCCTGGCCGAAGGGACCGCGCTCCGCCCTCTTAGAGAGGTAGGAGTGGTTTTCGTCCCTGGCTGGGAAGTCTGGGCCTCGGCCGCAGGGAACGAGAGGCGACTGTGCACGCTCGGTTCCTTGCCGCCGAGTCGGTCGAGGACGCTTCGGCGAACAGTCTCAGGTTGTTCTCGGTGAATAGATTCTGGCCGAGAAGCTGAGCTGCTGCTCTTATGCGTTTCTGGTCGGGAGGTTGAGGATCCTCTGAAGAATTAAGGGTTCTTTTTCCTCTCTTTTTCAGTTTTCCAGGTATCCTCTTCCCACTCTTCCAATTCCCGGAAGGAAGGAAGTTTCCCACCATCCTGGTCTAGCTTCCTCCGCTGATGTCGGGTATGCGGAGGAGTTCGATCACGAGGTGGCGGCACATTTTGTGCCCTCATTGCCTCCATGAGCACTGCCAGCGCTCTTGCCACCTCCTCCGAGCTGGGCCCCGTCAGAGGGGTCCTCGGCTGAGTATTGGAATGAGAGCGGACGATTGATGGTTGGCTTTGGGGCATTGAATGTGTCCTATAATCGACTGACCCCTGCTAGACCGAGAGTGACTCGGCCTATGATGAGAGTTATGAATTACGGGAGAAAGGGAATCCTCCATGTATGATCCTCCCCCCGAGCTGGCACCCTTGGGAGAGTTCCGGTCCGAGGAGGGTGATGGTGTAGGGGTTTTAGGCTTTTCGCCTGCTTCTTGACGGAGGCTTTTGCTCTTGCGGTTCTTAGCCATTGCTACTAAGATAATTGCAAGATGATCTTGGTTAGAAATTTGGCTTAAAGATTTTTGAAAGTCTTCCCCGCAGACGGCGCCAAATTGTTTCGGGTGAAAACAATGGGACCTTGTCGAAGGTCCGATGAAGTGGAGAAGACTGGATTCGGTCTAAGTGATGTTGGGCGGAAGGTTTCCTGCACAGTAAACACACGTAAACTAGCCTCGGGGGTGTTGCTGAGGAAGGCCCCTCCGATGCTAAAGTCAGTACAGTGTGTAGAAAGAGAACACTATGCAAGAGAATTAATTGCTTGAGGCTTTTTTGAATGAATGTACAAATGTAATATTGATGGCTTTTATACCTTTGCATATATGGAGAAGTTGGGCCTTAGCCCAATTGACTTGCCTTGAGGACTGATCTTTGACTTTAGCACAGTTGGAGAGTTGAACCTTGACCTTGGGCTTTTAATTGGATCATTTAATGACTAGGCCCAATTGGACTAAATTGGACCCAAACAGGTGTTACTTTGGGTGGCTAAAGTTTACCAAGGTCACAGAAGAAGCTTCTCAAAGTGTTCCATCATACCAAGATATCAAGAACCCTAAAGGGTTAGCCAAACATTTGAACATAAACATACACTAATACACATTGCATAAGATTAGGCACTTTTTTTTTTATTAATTGATTTATTTTATTTATATATTGAGTTATATTCTTCAATAAACTTCTTGTAAACTTGTAAAAAAACATGTATACAATGAAAAATAAGGATCGGAGAAGAGTACAGGAAGAGGGGATAATGGCAAATGTACATATGTAGCTTCGGATACTTAACAAAGTCGAGCAAATTGTTTGAGATTATCCTTTATTTTATTTTATGTCCACCATTGTTGTATAACAAAACTTAACATTATGTGATCTTCATTAACATGATTATTTAATGGATAACTTGTTCTCATTGACTAAACTGAACTGAACTGAACTGAACTGAAATGAATATTTTATAAGAGAAGGAAATTAGGAGCTGAACTGAACTGAATTTTAACGTATGAGAACAGACCCTAAGAAATGTACCCAAAAACAGCCCAATGTCGAGATGTAGCGGACAGGCCGGACACCACTACACAGCAACTTAACTAAATGTAAGACATGTATTCTGGTAGACATTTATTCTACTTCTCGTACTAATTTTCAATAAAGTAATTCAAGTCATCATAGTGGGGTAATTATGTCATTAAAATTCCAAACTATGGCTTGCCATTCATTAAATTGATAACAATATTACGGAATATTAATTAAGTACGGAGAGATATTAAAACGAGATTTTGAATACATAGAAATGGTCTATTTTACTATTCTAGTGCAACTTCTCACTTGCCAATATCAAAGATCACTTGCCAATTTGCACTATTTATCTATTGAATCAATTTACGTATTTAATTTCTTTATCAAAACTATGATCCCTATTTGGAGAGATCATACATTGTAGGATACTCCATCTTCCTCACACATATTTGGAGAGATCGATGTTATGATGATGTTTTCCATTTGATTCATTTACCATATGATTCATTACTCTGTACATTACTATTGTATTATGTACCTCATTTTTGAACTTAATGCGTCTCCCAATGGTATGAACAGTGTACTACGTTATATCAATATGTATTTCCTACAAGTATATCTGTATTTAATTTTATTATAAAATTTAGTAAATTTAATAAATTGTCATCAACATCAATAAAAAATTATAATTGCCATGTTAATTAGTGTAATATGAACCGATAACAGTACAGAATAGAAAAAGATGTTGAAGGCAATGCCAGGTTGCCAAGGTACCATTGGATTGGATAAAGAATTATTGTCATTATCTAATTAAAGTGATAACATTTCTCAGCCAAAAATAAAATAAAAAATTATACAAGTATAAAAACTCTATCTAGTACGGACTACTTCATATCCTAGTAACACGTCTCAACGACTACAAAACTACTCCATAGTTAGTTGTCAACATAAATATAGTTGATGAAGTACATGTCAATAATAATAATATATCACTAATTAAGTATCATTAATTAAAAATGTGGACGACCAATAGCTGACTGCCTTACATCCATGTGACCAAGGCAGGAAAACATAATGCAAGTTACCAGGAAGAAATTACTGCTAGTAAATCTGTACTGTATATTTTATCAAATTTCAAATAGCAACAAATTTCTGGAAGGGCTAAGGAGTATCTGGTTCAAATTTCACTAACATTGAGGTTGATACGTATTTCTAAGACAATGTGAAAGCTTAGGGGTTGTTCTCTTACGTTGAAATTCAGTTCGGTTCAGTTCAGCTCCTAATTTCCTTCTCTTATAAAATATTCATTTCAGTTCAGTTCGGTTCAGTTCAGCTAAGTTCAGTCAATAAGAACAGGGCCTAAATCTCGTACATATGTACGTCTTTCTAAACAATAATATGAATTGATTGATACAAACTAGACTCGATCCAACTCATAACGAGATCAGCTTGGAAATGAAAGTTAATCGTATTTACTTAATATAAATACTTTAATTTACTTTTATTCTATAACTAGGTTAAACCCCCGTGCAAATGCACGGTTGTTGAATAATTATGATAATAATATAATTATATAAAAATTAATGAATCGATTCATCGGGTATTAAAGTGCGTGAAATATATTAAAACAATTAAAACATGTGAGAGAAAATATTTATAGTTATAATGTGCAAGTTGATATTTTAGGAAGTTTATTTTAGTTTTTATATATATATAAAAAAAGGTCATAATCTAAATGCAATCTTTATTTTTATATAATAACGATTTTATTTAAAAAGTAATTTTGGCGGGAATTTTTTTAATAATATGTTGCCAAGTGTTCCTACATATTCGCTTTTAGTAGTATGTAATTGATACCACATCAATACAAATAGTAATCTGATCAACTAGTTTATAAGTTATCTGATCTTATTAACATCCTAACTTAAATCATGAAAAATATCATATATTTTGTACTCGATTATGTAAAGATTTTGATGACAAATAGGATAAATTATCTTTTCCCAATGCTCTCATTAAATTTTAATCTCATCATTCACATAGAATAAAAAATTAGCAATCAAATTACACTAAACTTCCTCAAATTTAACCCAAACCCAAAAGTTGGAGTTGAAAAAAAGTGAAGAGGCAGGGGTAATAAATAAATTGAAAACCCTTGAAGCGGAAGAGAAAGAAAAAAGAAGAGTATAGACTGTTTTCTTTTTCTGGGTTTAAAGTCATAATCAATCATCATACTATACCTGGATTATTAGATCCACCATTACTATTTTGACAACTTAACCTCTCCTCCTCTTTTTCTTCTTCTTCTCACCCTCTTTATTTTCTTTTTATTCTTCACTAACCAACTTAATCTATTTTTCTAAACTAAAGTTAATCCAGAATTTTTTTCAAGGGTGACAAAAAAAATAAAGAAAAAGAAATTACTGGAGGTTAGTATCAATTTGAGCCAAGAAATTATGTAAAAATTGAAAATTTTTGAAGATTTGAAGAACCCCATGTCTGCAAATTCTGCTTCATCCAGTGCTCGATTGATGTCTGGTAATTGGTTTGACTTTATTCTCTTGCTCTTAATCATATCTGTTAATTTCCCTGCTTTTTTTTAATTACATTGATTAATTTGTTTAAATGTAATTTCATGAGAATTATTTTTGTGGGGTTTAAGCTTATTAATTGAACATATTGATGGAGTTCTGAGCTGGGTTTCTTTAATTGGTCAATGTTCCCATCTATATCTGTACTTTACTAAATTTGTTGTATGATTTAATAATTTCACCTTTCAAGATTGGTTTATATTAGGGAATTATGGATAATGTGGTTGATTTAGAAATAATTGATGATTTGGCTGTATATTTTATCATAATGTGATGGATTTACTGACTAGATCAATGATCAATGCCAGTTGCTGATCATTTATTGTAAGCTTCAATCCTGTGAGCTCATCAATTCGTCACACTTTTCTTGTTTGGTGTGTTGTGCCCACTATAACAAAGAACTTTATCTTCATCTAGTAAAGAGCAGCAATAAATTCGGAATTGTTATGTTGATTGTCAAAATGTAGGAATGAGTGAGATTCCACTGATCAGGTTGATTAACTGAACTTGAAAGTTAGATTGAGTAAAAGAATTACAGCTTCGAAATTATCGAGGGGAAGATGAGAATTAGATTTGTTTGTCTTTTTGCTATGGTTAGGAGGATATGAAATGCATTTGGTGTTTCTTGTGCTATTTTTCATGTCCAATGCTGATGTTTTCGCATTGAGAAACAAATCTCTAGAATTTCAAAATTTGTTTAGTGTCATGATTGTTATGTTAGAAAACAGAAATCACTTGTATTCACTTTCATTTATGCTATAATAGAACACTGTGGTAGTGACCTGCTCTTGCATCTGCATCTGCATAGGTTGTATTTTCTTAACTGCAGTATTATCTTCGGGATAATATGGAAGGAAAATTGAGGATGAGGAACAAATACAAGAAACCAACCACTTTGCGTTGCAGTGCAGGGAACAGATGTTCATTACCTGTTGCAGTGGTTAGTGTGGTTGTGTGCCTATTTCTACTGCAGCTTTACACTCTTCTTCCCCAAAAGGATGCCTTTAAATTGGATACACGTATACTCACTGGTAAAAGTTTCCGTGAGCTTGAAGAAGTTGATGAGGAGAACATCCAAGTGCCCCCTCCAAGAAAACGTTCTCCACGTGCTATTAAACGGAAACCCAAGAAGCCTACTACAATTATTGAAGAGTTCCTTGACGAGACGTCTCAAATGCGGCATGTTTTCTTTCCTGACATAAAAACTGCAATTGATCCAAACAAGGGGAATGACAGCTTCTACTATCACCCTGGAAGAATATGGTTAGACACAGAAGGAAATCCTATCCAAGCTCATGGTGGTGGCATTCTGTATGATGATAGATCAGAGACATACTATTGGTATGGGGAGTACAAGGATGGACCAACATATCATGCCCACAAGAAAGGAGCAGCACGAGTAAGTTTTTATTTATGGGAATGTTCTTTTGTATGCATTAGCTTGTAAAATTTAATTAATTTGAGGCGGAAAACTGTTGAAGAAACATGGAGTAATGATTAGAGAAGGTTATTGTGAGATTTGCAATGTAGCAGACCTAACATGATAATAGTCCATAGTGAGAGCATAATGCCAAGATGAGATAAAGGAAGACAAAGGTTAGAGAGGAATGGAGATTGAGTGAACCAAGGACTTTCTATATTATTTCTGTACACCCAGGCATGTCAAATTCATGAGCGTTACTACAATATCTTCATAGAAACTTTAGTTCAACCATCAAGAAAGCTTGTTATTCATGTGGGACTGCTTTTACTGGAGTTTGTAATCACATGATATAAGGTGGTTCATGTCTTTGAAGTGATGGATTTCTCTTATGACTTCACGATCCAAGTGTTCTGGACCAAATAGGTTCCTGCTATATGTTCCAGTCTTGTGTGAACTTAAGTTCAAAATAAGTATCTAGTTTGAGTCGCGTGTATCTCAGTATTGAAAACAGGAAAGCAGTTATTGCCCTATCAAATTTGCTACTTTGATTCTCTTTGATCCATATGTTAATAGGTCACTGTATTTTGTAGATTCTAAAAAAATCTGAGGTGAAGATACTTTGTTGGTAGTAGCTGTATGTCTAGTTGTCCACCCAATTGAGGGTGTTGTTCTAATATATCGTATATGCTTTTCATTGGAGACCCCCCCTTAGTTTTCTTGCAACCATATAGGCACTTACTTCCTCCTTTATCTCTTGAGTCTTGACCCTTTAATTATTGCAGAAAATAACCGTGAAAATTTGCGGCTCTCAACTTCATACTCCTCCATGGCTATTTAAACAGTGTCATGTGCACTGACTATCTCCAGTCTTGCTCTCAACCTGCACAAATAACTTCCAACACCTCTCTTCCCTATAAGCAACTTGAACATTCATTGGGGTGCTAATTTGGGAATAAGTATAACCTATCATCTTAAAAGGAATAGAGGACCATTTTTCGGTGGGGTGAAGGGGGAAGGAGCACTAGTTCTTGATGTTACAAAGGCAAAGTTATCTGGTCATACTGTTAATGGAGAATGAATGGAAGTCAGGATTAGGTGTTGCTTCAGACAAATGAGATAGGTTTGATTTGGTTAAGTTTTAGGGCTCGCTATTTAGCTATTAGTATAGTGCCTTAAGAATAATTTTTGCTGTTGGTTTCTTGTGCATACTAAGTTTTCGATTCAGATTAGATCATAGGAAAGTGAAAATGGAATTGGCAATTTCAGAAAAACTGGGAAACAAGGAAATGATCGCTCCACTTATCTCATTTTCAGTAGCCTTGCAAGGATAATAAGGGCTGATTGGAGTTTCAGAAAATTTGAATTGGTTGTGAAACCCTTTGCTGCACTCATCACAGCTCTAGCTCAGTAAGCTCACTGTTACATGATCACCTAAATTATTCTTCTGTTAATTGGAGAATGTTGGACAACTGGAGTCAAACACTCTTTGTATTCTACTGGGGTGTCAACTAATTGCATCAGTTGAGAATGGCAAGATTATCTGGTTCCTAATTAAGCACTTTTAGTTTGGGATCTTTAGATGTTTGGAAATTATATAGGTTTCTGCTGAGTTTTCAATGTTGGAATGCTGCATTAGTCATGGAACACTGCCTGTGGAAGATATCGTGGCTCTGGCCCCTGAGGAGTTTTGAAGTCCCCCACCACGCACCCTCTGTTTTTGGTTAACACCAGGTGTTACTCACCGTAAAATCACCTCTTTTCCTGTATATTTTTTATCTATTTACGCTCCAGTCACTCCTCTGAATATGGTGGTGAGGCTACGGAATGCAGCTTTTGGCTAATAGCTGATACAAGTATGACATTTGGCTACAGAATCACCTCTGTTCCTGCTTCCTGGAACTGCTTGTGCTCTGGTGGATATATCAGGAGTTCAAATTCAGTGGCTGCCTGTTTTAGGCTTTGGCGTATCTTGTGTGAAATTTACTGCGTGTTATCATACAAAGATTTAAAATTTATGTAAAGTTTCAATTTTTTGGCACTTCTAGCATACTCCCTGCCATTCTTGGTTGGCTTCCAAGTATTATAAAGTCTGATTTGTTATTATTTTTTTTATTTTTCAGGTTGATATAATAGGAGTTGGTTGCTACTCGTCCAAGGATTTGTGGACTTGGAAAAATGAAGGGATTGTGCTTGCAGCTGAAGAAAATGACGAGACTCATGATCTTCACAAATCCAACGTGCTTGAGAGACCAAAAGTTTTGTACAATGAGAACACAGGAAAGTACGTTATGTGGATGCATATAGATGATACAAATTATACAAAAGCCCATGTGGGTGTGGCTGTCAGTGACTGTCCGAATGGTCCATTTGAGTACCTATATAGCAAAAACCCTCATGGCTTTGACAGCAGAGATATGACGGTCTTCAGGGATGATGATGGTGTTGCATATCTCATCTATTCTTCTGTTGAAAATAGTGAACTCCATGTCAGTCCACTTACTAAGGATTATCTTGATGTTTCAAACATTGTGAGTCCAGTTCTCATTGGCCACCACCGTGAAGCCCCGGCTTTATTCAAGCACCAGGGCACTTACTACATGATCACGTCGGGCTGCACAGGTTGGGCTCCAAACGAAGCATTGGCTCATGCATCTGATTCCATTATGGGCCCTTGGGAGACTATGGGAAATCCATGTTTAGGAGGGAACAAAATATTTAGGGAAACAACTTTTTTCGCTCAGAGCACATTTGTCCTACCCTTGAAGGGGCTTCCAAACTACTACATATTTATGGCTGATAGATGGAACCCGGCTGATTTGAGGGACTCAAGATATGTATGGCTTCCTCTGAAGGTTGCAGGACCAGTGGACCAGCCTCTCGATTATGACTTTGGGTTCCCATTATGGCCCCGAGTGTCGATTTTCTGGCACAAGAGATGGAGACTTCCTTTCAGATTGAGTGGTTAGATTCTGTTGCCTGTATCATATTCTACACGAGGTAATTAAATTGGCCAATTCTTTGTTTCAATTTCTCTCGTTGCTCATATGTAAGTTGTAACAGTATCATTTTTTCTTACAGTTTACACGATTTTACACTTAGATTGGTAGCAATAAAACTAGTGTCCTAGTGTTTATATCAATTGAGAGAAACAGAATACGTATTGATCTATAGAGGATCAAATGACATGTTTGAGGTTTTCCTATATCGAATCGGCATTTACACTTGATTGCTGATATTTGCCATTGTGGTTGACATGTACCATCAAAATCAGAAAAAGGTTTACTCAGATCAATTCAATCTTTTGTTGGGATGTTAACTCAAAAATTGTCAAATCATCTTTGTCATCCATGTACGACAATAGACCCTATACAACTATGAAAGCATCTTCACTCTTTAGACATCTTCCTTCTCCTAAAGGAGAGCCAACGACTAAAGCCTACGTCATTTTTTTTTCTAAAAAGTAAAAATAGAAAGAAAAAATAAAGTTGCTCCTTACCCTTTTTTTTTTTCTTTTTTTTTTCATTATACGATGTAATTTTTTATTTTTTATGTTGTTCTACCCGGTTCACCCTTTGGGCTAATTCGGATTCGGGGATCAGTTCTGGGTGGTTAGGTTCCAGTCCCCTACCGATTGTTGTTGAGGGGGATTGAACACGAGTCCTCCTTACCAAGTGTAGTCTCAATCACTACTACACTAACAACCAATTGGTACGATGTAAATTATTTTTAATGAATGAAAACATATTTTTTAGGTAAATCATATTTACAAATTAGTTTTTAATCACCAAAGTCAAATATTTGGGTCTACACATTTGCGGATCTATATTCGGAGGCCCGATATTGGGCTGAGTAGGCGAACCCAACAAGTCCATTTCATTGATATCATTGCATCATGACAACTACTGAGGCCTCTTTTAGTGTGGTGCTAATTGCTAAGTCAATTCCCATTTTTTGCCTTTTTAACTTAACTTGTATTTTATGTTATCACTTTCACCGTTTTTGACCACAATGAGTGTGATTATTATTGTTTAATTGGACGGGCAATTGGGCCACGTGCTCTTTAGAAACCAGTAGGCCAATTTTAAGTGGTGTTAGCTTAGATAAGTTTAAGAAAAATGAATTGAGATTGATTGTCAGTTTAAAATGAGTAATGATTTATGTAGCCCTTAGGAGTATGTAAAAGCATTAAATATAGTTATTAAAATTGGAATTAAGCTGAGAATTCATGATAAAATTAGGGTCAAATCGGTGTAACTAATGTAATCTTTTCTCATTATTTTATTTTTAGCTTTTTATATATAGCCCTTAGAAGTATGTATATCATTTTTCAAAATATATTTAAATAAATGTACTACCTCCGTTAATGGTTATCTGCACCATTAACAGAGGTAGTATTTAAGATTAGATAAATTTTAAAAAATAAAAATAAAGTGAATATTATACCACCTTCCACACACACACACAAAAAAGAAAATATTGTGGTAAGATTAAAGGAGGTTGGAGAAAAAGAAAAGGGAAGGCCAAAAACAAGGAGAGAGAGTCAAGTCAAAAGATTAGATGTACTCGTACTAGAAGTGGAAACTCTGAAAAGAAGTTCCCACAATCCCACCAGGTTTGGTGGGCCAAAAGTGCCCTTTTTTTATTTAGCTCTTCTGAATCAACCAAAAAGGTTCAATGTATGGGCCCCAAATATTTTCTTGTAAATCTTTTGAAAATTAATCAAGCACTACTATTCTTCTTCACAAATTTTTGGCAAAAATAATTCATGAACAAACAACATCTGCCGGCCCACTATGTGAGCCCATATATCTTATCTCTACTCACTAGCAATGCATAAACCAAATAAAATTCCACATATTTCTTAAAAAAAAAATAATAATAAAAAAGATAATAAAAATTCTACATACAGCTTATATTAGTATATTAATGATCAATCTAGCATTTAAATACTCCATTTTATTTGGATTCTATAATGTGAGAATAATTCAAATTATAACGCCTAAATCCTTAAAGTGCACCATTTGTAAGAGAGGAATTTCAATATGTTATTTTTATGGTCTATCTAACTTATCAATCAAGCTAGCTACTTCGTGTTTCCTCAAAAAAAAAAAAAAAAAAAAGAAAAAAAAAAGAAAAAAAAAGCTAGCTACTTCGTGTAATTTTGATTATAAAATCTTATAAGCTTGTCTATATTACAATATACATTTTCGTGTATCCATTTTACAACGTATTAAATCGTGTTACCAATGTGGCACAATGTCACGTATTAAAACCTTTAAAGTATGAATTTATGATCAAAGTAAAAACAGGCTTTACATTTTTCATTTTCCTCTTTACAGCTAAAAGCATAATAAAAGTAGGTTTGGTATCCTCTTTATAAGTTTATCCCGGCCTTTAATTAGCTGTGATGGATGGCATTTCATTTCCAAGTTTTTGATGGATGTACCAACTCCACTATCTATTTGGATTTATCGTTTTTTCCATGTAACTTAATGTAACCCCAGCTCTTAAGATCAGATGTATGTAAAAAATAGATGTACATAATAATAATAATAATAATAATAATAATAATAATAATAATAATAAATAAATAAATAAAATTAATAAAGTGGGCACAATTTTATTGGATGTTTTTCCCCCTTCTTTCTTTTTCCATCTCCACTTTAGCCATCTGGTGGACTAGTCACATCTAACCCACATGTACCCCAATATTGAACCTTTGTAGGACCCTCTTTCTTCCCTTTAAACTTAGGTCCAAACACCACCACCCCTCTTCCCACCCAAAGCCTTTTCTCACTTAAATTTAAAGCAATCTATATATAAAGTCGTACTCCTTTAGTTTATTACAGTTCTTTCTATTATGACAGTGATTGCCTCGTAAATAAATCAAAACAGAAAGAACGTTTAGAGATATAAAGAGTGTTAAGCTTTGTTATTTATCACTTATGGATTAATGAGGATTTTGTTAGCACTAAGTTAGCATAGATATCTCCAAAATTTAGATAATCATTGCAAGTTGGTGTGATTAGCATAAATATAGGTCAATACTATGTTTTATTTGATGGAGATGGTGGAGCCCAAATGCACATATATATACTTACACCTATAAAGCCATGGAATGAGAAAAATTGTTCTAATTAGCAACTCTACTACTATATGCATGTCTTAGCTTCTCGAATAGGCCCTCCCCTCTCTTTCTCTAACATGGAAAATATGGCTCTCCTATAACTTTGGCAAATTTGGGTTGACATACCAATTATTTGCCTATTGCTTATTGGTGATTGTGCGATTCAAATGGTACAATTATTTGTCCCTCATATACTTTGAATATAAGTTTTGCTATTTACTTTGATTTTGTGTTGTTGCATTTTAAGTCTTTTAACCACTATTACTTACTCTTTAATTTGTACAATTTTTTAAACATCTTTACTCTTAAAATAACAAAACAAAATCTTTTTTTTTTCAAAACCCACTCGGTACATATTAATACGAGTAGATTGATGAATCCATAACAAAAGTAAGAAGAACTCTTAGCATCGATCATATACATATGTAGTTATGTATTTCCCAAGTCTAATGGAAATTATACTAGTATATACCAAAATATGTAATTCAATCTGACTGTAAAATTATTAGACAAATTCTATTGAAAAAAAATTAATCACAATTAAGCGTGATCAAATTGATATTAAAAGTAACCAAATCCAAAGAAAATAAAATCCATGACCCAAATTAAAGATGTTATGATCATGATCATCCATTTTGCAATGTCAAACCCTATCCAAAATCCAAATTGCAACCTAATTTGATCGATAATATCTCAATATGCCTTTTTTTAAAAAAAAAACTTCCTACTTCTTTAACAAAAAAAATAAAAATAAATAAAAATCTCACACCCATAAACCTCATGACAAACATAGAATTGCAAGCACGTGCGAGCGTGCTTCAAACTGCACGATCGCACGTGCCAGCTACAACTAAGGTTTCCATGCACTGGCCCACACGACGGGTTGATCCCTCCAATTCAAGAATATTCCGGCAGTCGGAGACGCCAACGACGAGCACTGTGCCATCGACCACCCTTCTTTATACCTCCTAAGCAAAGCCCTTACATCATCACAAACCTCCTCACTATACGCCACGTGTCCAAACCCTACCCCGCGCATCCTCCCTGTCCACCTAGTGGCATTCTCTCTCCTCTCCGCTGACGTGTCCTCCGGGCAAGCCAACAAATCCACAAGCGCCCTGCCCGCTGCCCGTTCCAACATCAACTTCTCATTACTCGTCCTACCAAAACTCTCCTCTAACGCCTCAAAGTAAACCCTAAACCACCTTAAACACTCCGAAAAACCTCGTACAAACCCCTCTTCTTCCGCCGCAAAATCCGCCTCCTCTTCAACCACCGTAACCACCCTCGGATTCAGCCCCTTAAACGCCGACAACAACCCATCACGGCGGCGTAAACTCAACGTATGTAACGAGTTTACGAGGTTTATCGCTAAAGCCTCGTCCTCCTTAACATCAAGATCAGAAAAATCTAAAGTTGACAAATCACCTACATGATGAATAACCTTAAACTTAAAGGGTACCCCCATTAATCTAGCAAACTTCTCTAATCGAACACCTATTTCTTTCATCACACGTTGTACTCCGACATCGTTGCTATCGAGCACGGTGGTTAGCTTCAAGTGAGGCGTGTCATCCATACGTGTGGCAAGAGCTTCTAGAAGAGTCGGCCATTGAGTACAAAAAGTGTTACTAATGTCTATGATATGGAGTTTAGGTTCACCATCTAGGGCATCAATCAATGCACCGTTACTCGCCACGTGTCCGAATGTAGTCCAAGGACTAACTTCTTGGAACTTAAGTAGCATTTTTCGATTTGTTTCGAACGAGAATGATTTATCCGCGGCAACTCTCATGTTGTTGTAGCATCGATCGCCAGAGTCGGTCATTCGAGTAAAAAGAGCTTGTGTGAAGTAGGATGCTAACTTCTGCTCGACGTCCCCGTATGGGGACCCGAGTTCGTTTAGCATCCATAGTATTTGGTGGAGTCGAGCGGTGTCAGAGTCTGACACCGCTCGAGCTGCCTCCAGTAGAAGGTTATTAGCCCATTTACCTACGTAAAAAGATGGGTCGGATAACAACTCTAGGTTAAGGGTTGTTGTTGTAGTACCACCGCCATGGGTGGTTGGAGGGGTGTTGGTGGTGGTGGGGGTGGAGGTGGTGGTGGTAGTGGTGGAAGGCGAAGCGGAAGGATGATGATACTGATGATGATGATGTTGCTGCTGCTGATAAGGATAAGAAGGATAAAAAGGCGAGGATGATGTATGAGGTTGAGGTTGAGGTTGTTGTTTATTGTGTGAAGAGGAAGAAGAGAAGTCTTCTTCATCCATGAAAAAGTTGAAGCATTCTTCGTCTTGAGGATAGTGTTGTTGATGAAAATGGTAATAGTTGTTACTATTATGGGTAGAATGTTTGGAAGAGATAATAGAGGAAGAACTAGAATTGGAATTATTGAAAGAAGATTGATTATCAGAAGATAATTGTTGTTGTTGTGGTTGTGGGTGTGTTTGTTGGAAACTGACTAGTCTAAACAAAGTATCCATTTTAACCCAACCATCAAGTATGTAATTTGATGATGATGAATAATATGGTATGATATGATGAGGTGATAAAAACAAATGGGTTAAAAATAATAAAAATGAAAAATCAACGCACTCACCCACTTCTAAAACACAACTTAGCTTAGATTGAAACAAAACTACTCGTACAAGTTATTGTGAGTGTGTAAATCGTCAGAAGAGAATATGGGGTGTTGTGGTGGCTTTTTAACTGAGTGGATAGGAAATTAATTCTAACAAAAAAATAAAGAAAATTGTTTTTTTACTTTTTTGAAATAAAGGAGTATCTTGATGTTGGATTTTAGCTCATTCAACATCATTAGTATTTAGTATAGTAAGAGAGAGAATATAAAGGGTATTTTGTGAGAAATGGGAAAAGAGAATCTCTATTTTTTTTTTAATCTCTTTTTTGCTTTTGGTCTAATCGATGAAGAGTATGGGAATGTAAAGGCCTAATGCCTAAAGGGTACTCCGTATTGTTTTTAATTTTGTTTATTGTATTTGTTTAATGATTTATTATTAATTTATATTTGCTATAGGTTGAGGTAAGACTGAACGTGTTCGATCTTTACCTGAATTTTACTTATCTGAACATATTAACGTATAGATTCTTGATATGTTGAATATTTAAGACTATCAAATAGTTACGTCTAAGATTTTTTTTTTTTTCAAATAGAAAAATAAGTGAGGTTGTACTTGGTATAGAATCACATTATTCACATAGAATCTCTCATTAACCATGAAGCATGTTTATTTAAAATCAAGTATCTTGTTATTTTTACTATAATTAGTAAGTTTCAGTTATTAAAGCTTAAACACAAATTTTCAAATATTTAACTATTTTCATGTAAATATATTGTTAGACAGGTAAATCTGTTAAAACTGAGTGAAGAGAAGAGGTGGAACAGCTGTTAAGAAATGGAGTAGTGGGAATTCATCAGTCTGACATTAAAAAAAAAAAAAGTGAAAAAGATTGACAAAATTTCCATATGTTAAGGTGGATTAGCTAGCTAGCTTTAAAAAAAATTCATTTAATTAATTTCCAAATAAATAAACTAAAATAATAATAATATAGGGAAGAAATTAAAAAAAAAAAAAAAAAGGGGGTGAGTGGGAGCAGGCGTGCGAAATGGGGGGGGGGGGGAGTGTTAGAGGAGAGAGAAAATAAAAAAGCTGCCGGCGTGCATGATGATCATCAAACCCACCACCACCAAAAAGGGCACAGCTACTCACATTCTTTGCCTCCCATTCTTCCTCCAATCTCTGCCATTTTCACCTTAGTTTCTCTACTTTTTCTGCTCTTCATTTCACTACTTGTAGTTTTTTTTATCTTTAATCCATTATATTACTATTTTTGCATACCTGATGTTACCTTAAACTAGCCTCACTATATTAATATGCTCGGGAGTTGGAGAATTCCCTTATCTATTACCTTAACTTTATTCTCAAATATAGATCAGTATAGCACTATAGCTGGATTGACAGACTTATTAGAGGTGTTAACTCAGTAGGGTCTTTCACCTTATCTAAAAAATAAATGTTACAGTATTATATTCTCTCTTGATCTAATTTGCTTGTTGCATAGCTATTTGCATCCAAAAGTTGTAAGAAAAAAATGTACTACTTAAATAGCCAAGGTGTAACCTAATTCAATAATTTCCTATGAAGAAAAGAGATCGTAAAATATATTGTACGTAAGATATTTGAAATAGGAAAATGGAGCAAGTAAATTAATACGGAGGAAATAATATAATAAATCAAATATATGTGTGTGCATTATTTTGCCCGAATCTAGAGCATGCTTTAAGCTTTTTTTCCTCTCGCTTTCTTATGATAGATATGATATAGTGTATAGTTTATAGTCCGTAGATTATACACTCCAATGAAACACAATTATAACATTGGACTTGATTTGCTCAACACACATGCAGTCTAAGGTTGCAACCTCATCATAGTTCCACCTTTTCGTAGCAAGATTCTTGAGCTTTTTCTTGCTTATCGATTCCTAATTGTCTTTAATCGTGAAAGTTCTTCTTTGACTATTTCTATCCATCTTTATGTTCCATTTTTTTTTTTTGTAAAACTTTTTACATTTAATGTTAAGTAGATAAGAAAATCGAACTTGTATAGTTGTACGTACATTATAAATTATAAAATTAAATTGTATACTTTTTACTCTGTATATTATTTTTAAAAACTTTCTTGTTTATTAATTTTGTTAGGATTAATGCTTTCAAATGATTATTGGTGTCATTAATTAGAAGCATTATGCAAATTTTTCTTGATCATTGCATTTATCTATATAGGAGATCATATTTGCATAATATGAAAGAAAGAAAACATCAAACTATTAAAATATACGAAGTAGTAATATAGAAAAATCTAAAAGAATATCCAATGTAAATTTAGGATATAGTCTAGAAAATTCTAGTAAGTTTTAATGTCTAGAATGTCTTAGGAATATATATAGTTCTAGAATAATATAGCATTAGATATTATCCCACTTTGTATGAAAATTGTAGAACAATCTAGATTAAGCTATATAACACCTATAAATATGTGATGCATCATAATTTGTAATGAGGAGTCAATATTATTCACCAAATTAAAGTTTGGGTAAGTTAAGAGCTCTCATTGAATATGAGTTGTATAGATGTGAGTAAATTTTCACCAATACAAATTGTTGTACAATTTATGATAAGATTTTCGAAATAAAAAAATGATTTTATGACATTCGGGTTCATTAAATTTCCGCGTGTCGCTCAAACTCTATATCAAACTGTATTGTTAAGTTATATAAAATCGGATATAAGTTTTTTTTTGTTTTGGTTTTGATGCTAATTAAAAAAATGATTAGGGTATAATTGTTAATTTTGAAAATGTTATTATCCATTTCTTTGGATATTTGTGGTTATTGTTTTATTATTGTATACAAGTTAATAAAGGTATGAATGTTAAGATTCAAGAATTGATATATATATATATATAGACAAGATAGAAAACTTAACATTTAAAAGTTTAAATTAAAGATTTTTTTCGGGCAAAACTCAATGATTTGATTAAATACTTACTTGATTTCGTACCAAATAATTTAGTACTCATTTTTTTTGTAATCCATTTTAAGATTCAATAGGATTCTAATACTTGAAATTGGAATAGATTTCGCCCTCTATTGATGCATTGTTTGTCTAAGTTCAACCTACATAATAAAAATACTGGACAATTTTAATTTAAACACCAACGAAATATGCTATATTGCTAAGTGTATTTAATTTAAGTTTGAATATCATTACAATAATTAATAATATCTTAGTATTAAAAGTTTGAAATATAGTAGGGTAGATATGTCTCAAAAAGGGTTTGCTTCTTTTGTAATTTTTGCTTACCTTTAATTTTGTTTTAGTTGCTTTCCTAATTGTCCAACCAAAAAGAAAATGAAAAAGAAACTAGAGAAGTAGAGAAAATGCACATGGGTTTGTGAAGTACAAACCACAAAGAATACCATATTAAATACATAATACTTTATATATTTTAACTAACATTTTATTTAAATTTTGTCAAGTTATTTGTACTTCTAAGCTGATTAATCATTCAAAAAGATTTTATAAGTAAAGCTGATTAATCATTCAAAAAGATTTTATAAGTAAAGTAATTTTGAATTAATTATTAGTTAAAGTAGACAATTAAGGCTATTGCATGCCCTTAGCTAAGTGCTAAGTCAGACTCTAATTTGTCATCTTTAGTGATTAAGCTAAGTAAATAATTAGGTAAAAAAGAGGAAAGAATGTTTGAGGTTGATAATTAATTAAAAACCTCCGTTTTAGACCCTATATAATGCAAAGAGTATAATGTCAATTTCATAAGCCGAAAGTTTTGCATATTTTAACAACTCATTTGGCTGCACTGAAATCTTTGAAGTTGCTTTAAATGATCTAGGATTAAAGCCAAACAACATGTGACAAAATTAGCTTAGGTATTACTCGTACATTACACACCAGTGACACCACTTTATTACTAAGTGTATATAATTAATAATCTCTCTATCTACTTGTCATATTTTCAAAGTTTAAAATTTCTCTTTTGAACAAAATCCTAATTATATTAACAAAATTTTAATCTTTTGCATGATAATGAGGTTAGCCAACCCTTTAATTTACTTCCAAATAACTTTTTCATTATATTATAATTATAATTAATCATCATTCTGGATCGTCATTATCTTCCATTCATTATATTCAATAAATTACCCTGTAATACTTACAATAAAGTGCACCATCCGATCCTCTAAATATATTTTTCCTTGGAAAGCTTTTACTTGCACTAACCTAATCCATAATTAACTTTTTATGTTTGATACTTCCTGCAATTTTAATAGTAATTGAAACGCTTGCTCTTTTACATACAAACATGTCAAACCTCAAATATTGATCCTAATCATAAATTAGGATAATCTAGTCTAGTTAACTATAATCACCTAATCTTTCCCTCTATTGGAATTTGAAATCACAATAATACTCCGGAGTTTAGTTTTTGTTGGGTCCAAGAAATAAAACGCCAAACACAATTCTGGTTCCTCATCATTGCAAGAAAAATGGAGGTGTTTGGACTTATATGGTTTATTTTGTCTCTTTGTTACTCTGATATTACAGTATATTACCAGTTCTTGGACTGATTTCCGCTGAAATTGTACAACGGCCAGAACTAAAAACAGCTAAAAATTAGTCTCAATTCCCAAAGAGATTATCCATGAAATTAATCAATTCATATCCTTAACAGAACTATTTACCATATAATTACAATTAACACATGCCAATATTGCCAAATGCAATAATTATACTCCAATAATAGAATGGTTAAACTAGGATTAGATCATTACAGATTGGTTTAATCACTTTAATGCTGTTTTCTCTCAGATTTGGGGGTCCCTTAGAAGTAAAGTAGTCATATTGTGAAGAAATGCTTGTCCTTTTTACTAGCAAAAAGACTTGCGTGGACCTGGTCCACAATAATATTATTGTGGACCCGAGGTCTATACACACGCAACTGACATTATATTGAACATAGTGACCATTATTTTTGACATAGTAACCTTATTTTTAACCTAGTAACCTTTATTAAAACTACTACAACGTTTAATAATATTGTGAACTTGAAATATGACGCTATTACCCTAATTTTAACATAGTGGCCTTTATAGTGGTCTACAATAAATTAGTGTGAACCAGGTCCATTTAAGAATTCGTATTTTACTAGAACTAAGTATCATGAAATTATCTCTTTTCCTAATAGGGAACCAACTTTAATTTTATGAATTGTACGAGTTTGCCTTTAATAATTTCAAACCGACAAATTTAAAGCGCGGTTTCATCCAATAATGTAAGTTACTTTGGTGTTCACGACAGTTCTTCGAGCATAAAGTAAGCAAAGTAAGATTGTATCACAATGATTTATTGTAAAACTACATATAGGAGGAGTCTTTTTAAGTTAAAGATTTACTTTTACTGTTTTAAGTAGTAAAATTACTATTACTAACTAACAATAATTAAACGAAAATGCTCACTCAGAAGTTTGATAACACTAAAAATGTTTAATCATAATTAGGTCGTAGAACGTAAGCTAGTTAAACCCCTTCTCAAAACAAATTCTAGTAAATGACTAATGATTAGGTACAACGATTTCATAGAGATAAAAAGTCAAGAACCTTTGAAATTTATAATACGTTGACAAATAGCTACTCTACTATAAAGTCAACAATAAAATACTCCAAAGGTCTATATAATATTTGGTAGGCTTCGCAACTAATCAAATTTTCAAATCTTTCAACATATCTCCCCATTATTCTATTCATGCTTACTACCAAGAGTCAAGAAGCAAGTGAAAACTTCATGGTAAGCTCAACATATAGTGACCTGGAGGCTGGAGTTCATAGTCGGGTAATTTCTATCCTCGCCCTAACATTACTACAGAACATATTAGGGACCAGATAACTTTTTTTCGACATCTTTAAGGACTGCTTTGTATATTGGTTATCCACACGGAGGAGAATCAAGCTATATATCTTTCCCTTTCTAAATAGCATCAACTAATGCACAAAGTTTGTCCTCAAAAGAAGGGGAAAAAAAAAACTAATGCACAAAGTTTTCTCCAGTAGTGGAGTTGATGGGTTAACAATTGACACCATAGCATTACAGCTGAGGTCATATAGCTCCTATACAACAAATGATTCAAATGGTGAATTTTCTAAAAGTATTCGGGACATACAAATTTTTAGGGGTTGTTTGGTTGCCAAAGAAAACCATGGGAATTTGGAAATCCTAAGAATTGAAATTTTTTGAAGTTGTTTGGTTAACAAATTCATAGGAAGTAGAAATTCCCATGAGTTT